TAGTTAGTGGACTTTGACCCTAAACATTGACCTTCAGGCTGGCCATGAATCCCCTGATGACATCAAACATCCTCTTTACTGTACTAGCCTTTTATATAATTGGATATCTTTTTTAAAAAAATAAAAAAAAATAGTTCTCCTGAAATTACTAAAGTGGCTGAAAGAAATTTGTATATGCTGGGGGGGGGGGGAGAGAATCAAGCCAAGCTGAATGCTTCAAACTATTCAAATCTCACTGCTTCAGTTTGTAGTATGTCAACGCTGCAGCTTTTAGTTTATGATTCAACAAGCTATCAGCATCTTTGGTCCCAAGCCAGCTTACAAAGGACAAAATGTATTGTGGCACCTTAAAGTTAACATGTACTGTATTAAGGCATAAGCTTCTGTAGACTCAAGCCCATTTTGATGTCAGATACACTGAAGTGAAATCTTACCTGGTGGCAAATAAAGGAGAAAATAGTAGGGTAGGAGTTGAACCGCAATGAGCAGCCAAAATTACCACCAGTCATAATTAGAGATTGAACATATGTAAAACAGGCAGACCTTTAATGGCAGCAGATAGTGGCTGGCTCAAGATGCAGACAGGGCTTGAGGGTAAATGGATAAATGGTAAATTGCCTAAAGGGTAAATGGATCGAGGGGAGGTCTCCTCATATGTCCTGGGCTAACCAAAGCTGTCAGTGAAGCAATATTGAAAAATGTGTGCATACACGTGACCCCTGCAGTCCATTCTTTGTTTTTTATTTGCCCTTCCTGATCCTCTCATTGCTCATATAGGTTCTTTGTGCAGCTGCATTATTACACTCACGAAGCCCAGCCCAGGAATGATACGGGACATTCCGGCAAATATGTCGCTTCAAATGGCAGGCGACAGGGCTTGCTTGCCAAGAGCAGCATGCTTGGATGGGTCAGTGCTCCTTTTGGGGGGGCCTAGGCAGACACTATGAGGGACACTGTGTGACTTATGTACCTCTTTAACGAAGTGCTGACATCCCTAGAAGAAAATCTGTGTCTTATCCAGCCTGGAGAGCAGACTGTACTAACCAGCATATGTTAGAATGTATCCTGGGAAATAACAACTGGTGCAAATTTGCCTTTAAACGGCTGTTCCTAGATGAATGATTTGATTCCTGTTGCCAGTAACCCGGTGCACAGCAGGACGTTTTCCAACTGTGAGCTAACAACCAGTTAGCCCCACTTCACCTCCTGAGAATTAAGCAGTCTGTGACATACTCTGGACTGGAGAAGCAAATGGCACAACGAGCACAACTCGTTCAGATGAATCAGACAATATAAGAGTGAATCCAGGAGATAAGGAGTTTATGGCAAACAGAAAAATTGGAGGAAGGGGGCTTCCAGATGGGGGCCTTAATATTGATAAAGAGTCATTCGGATATAGCAAATTAGTAATTGGAAACTGGTGTTTTTTTAAAAAAAACAACTTACCAGATGTTCTGTGGAAAGGGTAAATCTGGATTAAATTGAGGGGCAGGAAAATAAACTGGCATTTTAATAGCAATGACATAGTGCATAGAGACTGCAAGAAAGTTGCATGTGTGAGTACTGATCCTACAATAAGCAGCTGCATTATTACACTCACGAAGACCAGCCCAGGAATGATACGGGACATTCCGGCAAATATGAAAGCACCCTAAGGCAGTACTTACCTAAACCCTAAGGCAAATATGAAAGCACCCTAAGGCAGTACTTACTAAACACATGCGCCACAAGTCAATTCATAGCCATGCACTCTTGTATCCTATAGATATCAATGTGCATCTAACAGCACAGCCTTATGTCTTATTTATTCAGAAGTAAGTTCCAATGCACGCAGTGATGCCTATTCCCTTGTGTCTGTAGGATTGTAGCTGAACTCTGCCTGGTTACGGCCATTTGCTTTTCTTTTTCTGCACTTAAAATAGAAAGGTGGAAGGGCCATAGCCCAATGGTAGAACATCTGCCTTGCTTGTAGAAAGTCCCAGGCTGGAAGTGCCCTCTGTCTGAAACCCTGGAGAGCCTCCACTCGTCGGGGTGGACAATACAGAGCTAGACTGACTGTTGGCCTGACTCAGTAAAAGGCAGTCGGTAGAGCATGAGACTCTTAATCTCAGGGCCATGGGTTCAAGCCCCATGTTGGGCAAAAGATTCCTGCCATTGCAGGGGGTTAGACTAGATGACCGTTGTGGTCTGCTTCAATTCTGTGATTCTATGATTCTACATTAAATCTATTTTTGAAGAAACCTTGACATAAAAATTTGTTGCATTTGCTTACATACAAATAATTCACAAATAAACAACAAATACTAATTGCCAGGTTACTTCTATTTGTTGTCTGAGTGCAACTCTTAAATGTCTAACTTCTGAATTAGATTTCTAGGTGACTATTTCAACTGAATTGTATACACATTTCATATGTATATAGACAATGTATATAGAAAGGGGAGTGGGATTGCACTCAGGGATTTAATCTCTCCACATGCATTTGGTTTAACATGTGAGGGAGCTCTGAGTGTCCCATTTCTACAGAGTTAGATTGTGCCAAACACAAATGGACCAGAAGTTGGTCTTGCAGGAGTAAAGGGGAAGGTCTCTGTGTAGTTTAGATGGTGCACACATCTATCTCATTGTATATACACAGGGGCATGTCTTTTAAAACAAGACATTTGTAAAAGTTAATACTTATTTTCCTAGCCAGATTCTAAGGCTTACGGTAGATAAAGCAACTGACATAGTCTGGTGGCATGTATTCATCCAAAAGGCATTCAACAAGCTGCTTAAACGTGGAAAGAAAATATTCTGAAGTTGTTCAACAGAGTTGTGCACAAGTAGATGCTAGAAGCAGTAAATACCTGTCTTAACTTTCCCTGCCAAAAACCTCAAGGGCTGGAAATGTTGACAAGAATCTGACAGATATGATTCTGACACATCATTACAGAATCACTGATCCAGTATGTTTGCATACCTCCATTCCACAGACATGCCTACCACTAACAACTTGATAGTAGCACTCTGAACTTTGATACGCTCTTTGGATTCCAGCACAGAATTATACTGATTGTATGAAGATGGGATGGTGCACGGGTGTCCAGCTTTTTCACCAGGCAAGATGATCAGGACTATTCTGCATCAGTAACTTGGTTGGGCAAAGTTTGCAGTCCCCATATTGAAAAATCTTTCTTCCCCTGCCTGCAGATAATCTACCTATCAGAAAACTAGAAGATTACCCTGGAAGCCCCTGCATCATTGCAGAAGTCTCTGGGTTATGTGTTATTTCCTTGTGGTACAAGATCTTGCCAGATAAGAGACAGTCAACACTGCTGCTAGGCCAAATAGCAACAGTGTTCTAGACCCAGGGGCTTGTCTAACTGGTCCAGAAGCAACACATGGAGCTTCTCAATCTGCTTCTGGGCAACATTACCAAGGGGAAATGGGGATTCAGGGGCCTCTGCAATGATGCTGAGGCCTGCAGTGCAACCTGTCATTTCTCAAAATCAGTTGTGTGCCCAATGGCAGGGGAAGAAACAGAGCAACATAACTCTGTTGGTCGGGGAGAAGGGGAAGTTGTGGCCAGATCAAAGCAGTATGCGAACTCCACTGCCTATCTGTCAGGCACTACTCCATGCAGGAAATTATTAATCATCTCTTGTTTCCTGCTTGGAAGGATGCCTGCCAGGTGAGAAGCGACATCTTCCAAGCCAGTAGTGGTGTAAGAATGGGAGGAAATGAGATCACAGCAAAAATTAGTTGGGAGCCAGATGGCTATCCGTAGACAAGAGAACTCAGATGTTTCATCTGCAGCAGGTGCTGCAACAAAATCTACAGATGCACAGCACTTCTTCTATCTGGCAGCAGCCAGTGCCAAAAATAAATAACATTGTTGCTTCTGGGAAGTAGAGGGACAAGATCGGGCAAATAATCACCATGATCACCCTACCTGCTGAAGATCCAGGTGGAAATAAGTCATTCTCACAATAGGCAAGATAAATTTGCACCTGGAAAGATAGTCTAACTTTCTAGTTCCCCAGAACCAATTAAGTCAAAGACTATCACACAAAACAGACAGAAAAACCCACACTTTTCTTTCTGACATTTGAAAACAGGAATGCCAACAGGATTTCCTGGAGGCAGTATGTCTTATGTGGAAAGGAGGCCCTGCACTCCCACCTCCAGTCTATTGAGAAGAACTGATGACTATGTACATATATTATCTTACCCTTGCCTACCTCACAGGGCTATTGAAAATATAAAAGGAGAAGAGGAGGGAAAACATACACAGCCTTGATCTCCTGTGTAGGAAAGCCAGATACAGTACAAATGTATCCCATGCAGTTGAACTATGGAATACACTGCCTCAGGAAGCAGTGACAGCCCCCAACTTCGATGCTTTAGAAAAGGATTAGACAAATTCATGATGGCTGCCAGTGGCTACTCAGCACAATGGCTGTGCTCTGCTTCCACAGCTGGAGGCGATATGCTTCTGAATACTAGCTACTTGAAAGTGTAGGAGAGGAAGAGTGTTATTACACCCAGGTCCTGGCTGCAAGGTTTTCATAGGCATCTGGTTTGGCAATGGGAGAACAGGTTGCTGGACTTGATGGGCCATTGGTCTGGTCCAGCAGGGCTCTTATGTTCTTATGTAATGTCATTCACAGAACATGTAAAGAAAGCCAGGACAGCAACCTCCTTGCTTTAACTGCAATGTTTCATAGCTCGGATATTTACAGCACAATACAAAAAACAAACAAATAAAACATTTACCAGGTCTGATAAATGGTAATTTCCACATTAAAAGATTTACAAGGAATTTCCAAATGAATAGATTAAAAGCAATTCCTAAAACCAGAATCCATTAAAAACTTCTTAATTTTTAAAAAATGAACTTTTGCCTAGACATCCAACATTTTAAATCACTCAGGGTATAAATATACCTTCAGTACTTCTAATTTGTATTTGTATTTTTTTTATATAAAATTACAGAAACAAGTAAGGTCTACTGGCTTGCTGGATAGTTTAGCAAATCAATAATCAATGTTTTTAAAAGTCACTTAATTCAAATTGCTATAATGTACATTATAGAATGGTTAGGGAATGCATATTTACATCATAAAGCTTATTGGATTTCCAGTGCTATTATTGTTTCCCATGACCAAGAGTCTACAAAAAGGTTATTTTCTTTACAGCAACGTGTCCAAAATCTAAAAGGAAATTATGCCAAAAAGTTTATTGCAATAGCGATACTCAAAACAGTTTTAAAAATAATAATAGGAAAAGTAATCACTGACGACAATACTTTTCAAAAGTTTTTACATGTGATTCTTTAGAGGTCAAGGAAGCTGGGTAGATTTCTCCTGGCCAGCTTCCCCCCATGCCCTACATGCCAAGTTATAGCTGAGAGAAAAATAAACACGGGTCCCTCTTCCTTCAAAAGTGTTTTGTAGTCTACAGTTAAGACTTCAATGGACATCATAAGAACCTTAAATACAAATACCCTTGTCTTCAGAATTTCATTGAATTAAGCACTGAAGAAATAAGGTTTGCTTTAAAAAAGGAAGTTGTTGACTTGATATTTATGGTCCATCTGGCATCTTCATTATACAGCTTTCAGCAAATGCTCAAAATATGCCTCTTTGCCCTGGCTTTTGACATCTGAGGTGTATATTTGTAAGACCCACCTTATTTCTGTAATTAGACTGGTTTTAATATGTTTTAGTTATTGTTTAATTGTTGTAATGCACCCCCTGGGACCTTGGGGGTGGTGGTGGTCCCCATTCCATGAGCCATGCTGGCTAGGGCTGATGCATGTCAGAGTCCAGCGATATCTGGAGGGCCACCAGCTACCCATCCCTGCTCCACACATTCAAGGAATGACTTAAGAGACTGAAAGATTCTGGGTACTCCTACCATGGGAAGTTAGCACTTGAGAGTTGTCAGTGCCACCAGTCAATAAAGCTGTTGGGAAGAAAGGTGCATGATTACAAAGGATGATTATGTAGATCTAACTCGCCCTATGCAGATAGTCAACACCTAGAGGTGGGTGGGGTGGACAGAGGAGAACACACCTTTTCCAGCAATGGCCGGTTTCTTCTTCTTAGTGAAATGCACTTCCTAGCAAGAGAACTATTGTGCTCACCTGTTCTTATCAACTCATTGTAGTAATAATATGATTGTCTTCTTTTTCTTATACCAACCTAAAATGGATTACCTTTTTGACAATTTTTGTGTTCCTTTCCATTGACCATGTTAATGCGGTATTAAGGTGTAATCTTCAAAATTCATAAAAAAGTAAAATTAAAATCGTTTCCACAGCAACTGTAACTTAGTCACAGCAGCATCGTCAGTCGCAGTCAATGCAGTCTGCCTTCTCAATGTTGCAATAATGTGGAATGGAGTACTGCATATTTATAAATCTGAATAATAATATAAAAGCAAAAGTTAGATAGTGCTAAAGGGTATAACAGATAAAGAGAGAAGAGAAAATTATCAGCTCTATGTACGTTGCCTCCAATTACTGTTTCCCATTACTCTGAATATACTGTATACAGTACCACATTTCCCCCCATAGTCATTTATATAATTACAACCTTGTCTCTTTTCCTCACCTTCAAAGTAGGATATATTGTAATTTGTGCTAATTTCAGCCAGATCCCCTGCTGCTTCATAAGGGATGTTTTGGATATTTCTGCACTGGTAACGGGTTGAAAACTCCAACTGCCTTTTTAATGGTCTATAGGAAGCTCTGTTGAGCCCAATTGGAGTAATAAACCAAAAGATAGAAAGATAAAGTGTTGATGTTTTTCATCCATTCCAAAATCCTTTCTCTTTTGATCTCATTGATTGTTTTCCATAGATTGACATGCATCCAGTGCATTCATGCAGATTCATTTAGAATCTGGTTGTGTTTTAATAAAAGCAAAGGGAGATCTATTGTTGCATTTGAGAAAAGCCCTCGGGAATCAACAGCTTTGGTGTATGTGAAGGCCTATTGGCTTGCTCCACTCACCATCATATCTTCAAGGTCGATGCATTCTGACAAGCAAACACCATCAGTGAGGAGGAGCTGGATATACTGGACATGGAATATGGACTTACTGACATGCCTTGCTTAGGCTGCCAGGTGTGTGGTCAGAAGAGAGTGGATGGGCCAATAGTTCAGGTCCTCAGATGAGATATCTGACAATAGGAGAAAATGTGAGGGGGGGGGGACAAAACAAAAGTTAACATTACCTTCTGCTAAAGGCTCTGCCTATGATAGAATCATTATTGTGTTCATGTTTCTTCATATTTAGTTGTTATTTATGCTTTCAATAATCCATGTTTTGAGCCAGTTCACAAGATGCTCAGCTCTTTGGTTAATCATGTAAACTTTGTCTATGTTGCAGATGAAGTTAACCTATTGTTTCACTCAACACTGAAGTATTTCTTTTTTAAAGCAATGTGCTTTTTGGAAATGTTTCTGCTAATTGTAGCTATAGCTAGTGCTGTCTTTGTTATTAGTGCTGTTTATTTCTTTGGTGTGTGATTTTTGCTGTGCATTTTTAATATGATTTACTCTCAAGGTTGATTAGTTTCCTATCATTGTTTCCCACTGTGAGCAATATTCTGTTGGAAAGGTGGGATATAAATAGTCTTTAAAAATAATTAATGATATTTACTGGGACATAAAAGGGTATATATTCTAGGGGTGTACAATTGCTTCAGCCAAATCCTAATTCTAGAACCAAATCGAGCTGAAGCAATCTAAACTGAATATGGGTCCTTTAGTTAGTCTTGGGATGATTTCAAATACCAGGTAGGAATATCCTATGTGTTTGTCCTGGTTGTCCACTGTGAAAACAGAAAGCAAGATTAGATCTGATTCAGTCTGATTCAGCAGGACTTCCTCCTTATTTCTTAAGAAGTTAATATGTCATTTTCTATATGCTTTTTCTTAATGTAACTAAATTCTACCAGAATCAGTGGATATACTCAACACAACAAGAGGAAAGCAGGGCAATGACTAGTAAGAGAAAATGCTTACGTTTTAATTGGTTTCTGTTTAAATTGGATAATAACTTTCTATTTTTTTATTTTTTGAATAAGGTTGTCTCCCTCTAGTAATCTGATGGGAACCAGTTGGAACACCTGTTTAAGTTAAGTTGTATATAAACTTAACTTATAAATAAGACCTTATATCTCAAAAAATGTCACAGCCTACAGAAACAGAAACTGACTGTGTGCTGCAGTCCTGAAGTTCTTACTGCTCAGATAAGTGGGATGTGTGTAACAGTATCGTAATTCTTCTCTGACAGTCATGTTAGCATGCAGATGGCTGTAAAGAGAATATTTCAGCAGCCATGGGAATTGTAACAGCTCCTCATATTCCTGTTCAAACTTGCTGTGGAAGGGAGAGGCAATATATGACATCCAGAATGCTCTCAACCTGAGGCAGTTTGCTCCTCTAGCCCTCAGAGCCAGATACTGCCCATACCTTCATGCTGCCCTGACCTGAAGGAAAGGTTTAAGGTTTTCCCAAGGGTGATCCATTTGCTGATCTGGATGCAGCTGACAGGCCTTACGTTGTCTAACTCGTGCAACACAGGACACATAGTACTTCTCCTCTGGATGAACGCAACATTCTAATGGGACCTGTTGTGCCAGAATAACAGTTCATTTTCAAATAGACAGTAAAACGGTGGAAAAGATAGCAAGGCAATTGGTGATGGGGCAAAATAAATGTCAAACATAAAATGACACCAGAAATTCAGATCGCCTTGAGAGGCAAAGAAAGATGTGCATAACAGTAGGGGGCAATGGTATTCCAATTAAAATTCTGTCGCTTCATACAAGCTAGTCTTAGGACAAACTGAAAGTGACTGAATAAAAAAGGAAGAAAAAAATGATAAGAAAAAAGGCACCTTTGGTGGCTTTAAATGAAAATACAAATAATGGAACTTGTATGTTGTGTTATCACTAGATTCTGAAAAATGCTGAACATTTTATCTGTATTGTTATTAATCATGTTTAGTGTGATTTAGAAGTGCTCACACACCAAATGAGAAGGAGTAAGACTTAGACACCAATCCCCTACCCAAAAACCATATTGTCAACATTTTGATACAAAATAAGAACAGAGCATGTCGGCCAGGTTGTAAGAATAATATTAGTTTCCTCCTTATAAGCTAATCACAACTCACTTCCACATATCTATGTAAAGCAAAATGGCTTCACCTTCCACCTCAAATGGCTGAGATGGAGAACCTGTGGTTCTCCAGATGTTACTCAATTCCAGCTCCCATCATTGCTGACCACTGGCCCTGCTTTCCAGGAAGCTGTGGTTCAGCAACATCTGGTGCGCCAAAGGTTTTGCCCACCTACCATGAGGCATGTGCAAATGGCCCAGTGAATGGAATTTATGCAATAATAATTAATATCTGGTATATAAAATAAAAGTAAATAGAATAGAACTCTCAGTTTAAATAACTCTTTCTTTTTGACAATTCCCTTTTGACAGTATTTTCTCTTGCCTGGAGCTCTCCGGAGCTCTATGATTCAAAGGCTGAAAAAAGAACGGCATAGATTCCTTCCAACATTAAAAGACATTTATGATGGAAGAGCATCTGGGATCAGATATTTTTTCCCCTTCTCTTTTTTGTTTTAACTTACATGGGCCAAGAATTTGCTCTGGAACTGAAATTTTATGCCCAAGATTAGTTTTCATAGCCTTTTCTTCTTCTTTTAAGTACTTGTAATTCTAAATGCCATGAATTTTAAGGTGCCCAACTGGAGTTTTTTAAAGGGTGGCGGCAGATGCGCCTCGTGGTTGGTTACCAGTATCCTGAGACATTTATCTAGCCTGAATCATGAATGAAAATGTGACAGATTCTCATCCAAACATTCACTCATGCACATCCCTAATATCCTCAAGCAATTAGTCACGATGATCATTCTCTGCCAAAAGTGTATTCTGGAACCAGAATAACAAGGGCGTTATAGGTCAAGTTTTAAAGTGCACTGACAGATCGGCAAGGGGAAGTTATAACACCTGCTTGAATTTTGATTTACTCATGCTCCAATATTAGACCTTCAATTTCACAAGTGCCCAGGTCACTTAGAAAGCTAGTGCCATGGAATTCAAACCTTTAAAAATAACCCCCAGCGCCTAAAGCCATTGAACATGAGTCTGAAGCAAGCAGCTTTCCCTGCGCCGTTCCTCAGTGCCTGCCCTTTAATTAGGTCAGCTGCTGAGAGTGAGGAAAGTTTTCTCAGTTCTGCAATTTTAGGTTGCTTTTCCTGCAGGCTATCCCACGCTGCTATCTTTTTTGCTGATTTCTCTGTATTTCATCTGGGGAGTTTCTTATGTGCCATCCTCATTGCAACAAAGCAGTGCAGAGAACTTCGGAGGAGCATAAGAAGTTATTGTTTCATTCAGGGCTAAAGTAATCATGATGTGCAATGATCAGGATTTTCCCATACAGTATTTTTTAAAAAATTACTAGCAGTCATGTTGAAGGGAAAGTGGGAGAGAATCAGATGAAGCCATTGCACAAGGTAAAGAGAAAGTTTATCCCACATGGCACAGTCTATTTGATTGAAATACACACCCACGCACATATCCCAAGCTGCTGTTTGCCTCACATTCCTTCTCCTGTTGGAGGCAGCATGGTGGGAATCACAGGTGGGGAAAGTGCTTTTGCTCTCAAGTTCTGCTTCTGGGCTTCTCATGGTCACCTCACTGACTACTGTGAGGGCATAATGTTGGGCCTTTGACCTGATCCAGAAAAAACAGTGTAAGTCCAGCAAAAGAGGTCAGATGCACAAAACAAAATACAGTGGTACCTCAGGTTACATACGCTTCAGGTTACAGACTCCGCTAACCCAGAAATAGTGCTTCAGGTTAAGAACTTTGCTTCAGGATGAGAACAGAAATCGTGCTCCGCCGGCGTGGCGGCAGCAGGAGGCCCCATTAGCTAAAGTGGTGCTTCAGGTTAAGAACAGTTTCAGGTTAAGAACGGACCTCCGGAACAAATTAAGTACTTAACCCGAGGTACTACTGTACCTTAACTGTCAAAGGCCAGAGTAAAGAGATATTCAACATATGACGGAAAACGCATAATGAAAGTGCCTAATAATAATAATAATAATAATGTATTTATATGCCACCAATCTGACTGGGTTGCCGAAACCACTCTGGGCAGCTTTATAAAACCATAGTAAAACATACAACTTCCCTATACAGGGCTGCCTTCAGGTGTCTTCTAAAAGTTGTTTATTCCTTGACATCTGACAGGAGGGTGTTCCACAGGGTGGGTGTGACTACTGAGAAGGCCTTCTGCCTGGTTCCCACAGATGCTCCTTTGTGGTAAGGGTGTTCCATGATCCCCAAGTGCCTCAGTTTTGCCAGGACAGTCACAAAATTCCTAAAGCCACCACGGCTTCTGACTTGATCCCGGGGCATCCTGAATTCCCCTGGCTAGTGAACGAGGGTCACAGAAGCAGCAAATGTTCTAGAGATTTTGATGGTCAAATATGTACTGTTATGCTGTCCAAAATATTTATATTTTTGCACTTTCAGATTTGGGCCATATTCTTGAAAGCATTTGTTTGCACAGCCTTGACTTCCATAATATAAATGGTAGGAAATACTGTGGTATATTTGCCCCACTTCAGCTATTGTCTGCAAGGATAAGCCTTTTTCGGTACAACCTGATGAGACACGTGTCATTCTTTTTCGTTGTTCTCTAACTTTTATGCTTTCTGTATGACTTTTCATTGCTTTTCTTCCCTCATATTTAACTGAAAATCACAGGTGGCAAAGTGCCTTTTGCTATAACTGTGTTGACATTGCCAAGCCAAGTTTTAAATGCATTTTCCTTGCCCCATTCATCATTTAAACCCACACAAATACCTTATCTTTTTTTACTGTGCCACTGTCTAAATGTCCTTCACCTCCACTGATGTCTGTCATGGACTGAATGTTTGTTTGTTTGTTGAATTTAGAAAAGGAAAGGTGTGTGCCGAGTATGGTACAGAGAGCCCTTCTCCTGGCACAATGGCTGCTTCACTCTTTACTGCAGAAACTGATACAGGGAACTTCTTTTTGGCTGGAGATCAATCAATAGTGCCTCTCTATCACTCCTCCTTACACCAGGTTAGAGAATTCCCCTTTGTCTGTAAAGGGAAAGCAGATTTATTGGGAGAATGAATGAATCCCCAGCTGAGCCAACCCCTAGCTCCTCTCTGTCTGTCCTTAGGCTGTCATAGCACCTCTTCTCCTCCATCTTCTGGTTTCCATGGTTCTTCCCTCTCTTGTATTCCCTGCACCTTCATGCTCAGACCACTTGATTCACACCATTTAACCACTTGGAGTTGGCCCACAACTGGATCAAACATACAACCCCAGTAGCTGTGGCCTTTTCTTAAAGGCTCAGCTGATTAGTAAAGGCCAGACAGGAGCACCTTGCACATACACCCAACCAGCATCTATTGGTCTGAGACAGTAGCAGTGGGCCGTTAGATCTCCAGGATTGTCCTCAGGAGATTCATCAAGTCTGAGGTTGATTCATGGAGACTCCAGATTCCAAGACTTGGTTTGTCATGTGGGTGACAGGAAAATCTTCTCTGTGGTTATCGGGTCTATTCAACTGACTTGTAACAAGTTGTGCTAAGCATTCAAAATCCAGGGGGAGCATAATCTTTCCATGCTAAAAGGGTTTTAGCCTACTTTTTAGAAGACTCTTATTTGACTCAACACATCTGAGTGCTTATTTTAAATCTCAATCTTTCCCTGTTTATTTTAATCATTTTCATTAATAGTAAACCACTGAGCCTGAGGGCATGTCCTTAGGAAGGCAAAAAGCAACCGGAAGGGGAAGATTTATATCAAATATATATTGCTGATTTTCAGTTTGTTGTTAAATATGTGTTTTAAAAAGATATGGGGAAAGAGATGGCTCTTAACGTATCCCTGGAAATAAATTGGGGGGGGGGAGGGAGATGAGAACAATATTCTTGTTTAAAACAGACACGAGAACAAATATAAATTCATGCTGAAGGTGGAAGGGGAAATACAATATCCAGTAGACTCTAGATATTGATTTTTATAATAGTCATGCTTACTATTTGTACAGTTGTACCTCGGGTTAAGAACTTAATTCGTTCCAGAGGTCTGTTCTTAACCTGAAACTGTTCTTAACCTGAGGTACCACTTTAGCTAATGGGGCCTCCGGCCGCCGCACGATTTCTGTTCTCATCCTGAAGCAAAGTTCTTAACCAGAGGTACTATTTCTGGGTTAGCAGAGTCTGTAACCTGAAGCATCTGTAACCTGAGTACCACTGTACAGAGAAGGTGAAGAGAAGTGTGACATTCTTTCCCACTTGGGTTCATTCAGTCAGTAGGATAGTCACAGTGACCTCTCCCTTGCCTTCCTCAGTGCTGTATGCCACTTCCCTCATGGGTATTTCCCACATTCCTCAAAAAGCTTTACAGGACCGCCTCTCCTGGTATGCCCCACAGAGGAACTTACGGTCTTCAAATAAAAACATCTTGAAGGTCCCAGGCCACAGAGAGGTTAGGCTGGCCTCAACTAGAGCCAGAGCTTTTTCGGCTGCGGCTCCAACCTGGTGGAACGCCCTGTCGCAAGAGACAAGGGCCCTGCAGGACTTGACATCTTTTCGCAGGGCCTGTAAGACAGAGCTGTTCCACCAGGCCTTTGGTCAGGGCGCAGCCTGACTCCCTCCTTTGGCAATCTCTACAAAGCTTTAGTCTATGGTTGCCATCAATTTGTATTTTAATTAATTTTTAGAATGTATTTATAATGTTGCACTGTTTTAGTGTTGTTAGCCGCCCTGAGCCCGGCTTCGGCTGGGGAGGGCGGGATATAAATAAAATTTATTATTATTATTATTATTATTATTATTATTATTATTATTATTCCTAGATCTATTCAGATGCCATAGAATGCACAGGACTCTCATTTGGCCACATGGCAGCAAGAAGAATTTGACCATTAATTGAACGTATTTGTACTTCTAATGGAACATATATGAGGCTTGCCCAAAATAGTGATTAGAATTACTCAGCTGCCTAGTCTGGCTATAAAAGACCTGAAGCACTTTAACTTTCTTAAATGTAGGGCATATAAAATATTTATGTTCACTGGCTAAAGATTTACTCGAGGCCCTTCTGGAATGACCTTACTCATGCGGCAGCTGCTCCCGTACATGTCCCTCCTGTGCTGTGCTGTTAACAGTGGTAACACAGGATAAGTCTGTGATGTCGTTTCTTCCCACATTATTTTGAGAATGAACCAGGATACTGGATCAATTACTGTAAAATGTTGGTTTTGGTTTAGAAAGGAGCGAGCCCATGCAGAGCTTGTTTTAGGCCTGGGGCAGTGGCGTAACGTGGGGGGTGCAGGGGGGGCCGGCCGCACCGGGCGCAACATCTGGGGTTAGGGCAAATCCACGGGTTAGGGGGCGCAAATCCATGGGTTAGGGGGCGCAAATCCACGGGTTAGGGGGTGCAAATTACTTGCCTTGCCCCGGGTGCTGACAACCCACGCTACGCCACTGGCCTGGGGCAAGAGTTTTGTTAGAATAAAGTTATAAAACAAAAAAGCAGCTGGTCCCTGGTCAGTTTAGCCCTCTGAGGTCCAGGGCAAGTGTATCCTGCTGCCCCCTCCCACGCATGGCCCTGGGAAGGAGCCATGTTGCTCATCTTTCCATTTAATTTGGAACTTCAGGTGTCTTTAGAGCACTATGGAAAAAACCATGTATTGCTTGTTGTATGTCCAACGCCGCTAAGGCAGCCAAATTCTCCAACATACAAGTGTCCACATCCTCTGCATTTCAACTTCCACATTTTAACAAGGGCACCTGTGTCCTGCTCCAAATCTAACCAAAGTTTGTCCTCAACAGCTTCCTCCATGACTTTGACTTCAAGGAGAAACGTTCACTGGAAGTATCAACAATTTAAATAAACAGATGTATCTGCCAAAGGTCCCCAGGACAGCTTACCTTTCAGCAGGCAGTTAAGTGCCATCTTTTAAAATGGATTTTAACTGCTACTGTATTTATACTGCTTTTGAATTGTTGTTGTAGCCTTTGGTTTGACTGTCATTTAACTTATTTATACATATCACTGGCTGCCTTGAATATCTTTTTTATGAAAAGTCTAGATTAAAATGTTATAAATCAATGCAACAATTGACGTAACTATTTTCATACCTTTCATACATTTGTCTGCATTTTCTGGCCAAGAAGATGTGGCCTATTAAAATTTAAAATGCCACTACACATTTGGGGGACGGAACTGGTGACAATAAATGTACACTGCAGTCCCATGGTTTCTTTAAGTTAGTTGATTTGTTTATCTGGGCTATTTTTCAGCTTGAGTCCTGAAATAAACAAGACCCCACAAAGGAGAAGCTTCCAGATAATTTTATTTTTGCTTGTTATGCCTAAGGTTTTGAGTATTAATGCATGTTAAGCATTAATGCTGCACACATAAGCACAGTTACTTGAAAGCTCATCATATTAAAATCAGTGAGTAAATATGGTTAGGATAGCCAAACCCTCCTCCCTTTTGCCTGGCTAGAACTTGTCTTTGAATTGTGAAAGTGACTTTTGCCTAATTGGGGTGAGGGTGTGTGTAGAAATTTCTGGTTTGTGTGGCTGAAAGGTGGCCTAATGTACAAAAGAAAGAGGCACATGGAGCCCCATGCCCCCTTTTACCTTTGGCCCTGTCCATCACCACAGAAACATAAAGCAACATGTAGGCTAATACAGTGGTACCTCTAGATGCGAACGGGATCTGTTCCAGAGCCCCGTTCGCATCTAGCAGCAAACATAACCAGCTACATATGCGCATGCGTGCTTCGCTTTTCGCCGCTTCTGCGCATGCATGTGACGTCATTTTGAGCGTCTGTGCATGCGCAAGTGGCGAAACCTGGAAGTAATGTGCTCCATTACTTCCAGGTTGCCGCGGAGCGCAATTCGAACACGCTCATCCCAAAGCACATACAACCCGAGGTATGACTGTAGTATACTAACAATATTTATATAACACTATCGAACTGTTTCTTAATTCACAATCAGAAAACATACAATATGTACATGGAGTCACGAACTAATAAGAGTGAAGTAGATATTCCATGAAAGGAAATGATCAGATTAGTATTTGACCGCAAAGAATCACTGAATTTTGAGGCTAAACGCCTTCCAAAGTTAATACAGAATATTGCCAAAAGTGAGGGGGAGCGAGATGGTGCTCCACAGCAACACAGCAACACAGAAGAATGATGGTAGGTGCTCCAAACACAGCAACAGAATAGTCCTTCCGGAATAATAGACTCTTTCAATAAATATTCTTCATCAGCAAGTCAATGTCCACAAGGTACACCAAATAACCATGGATCAGTTGTCACTCAAAAGTGTAGTAAGCTGAGGAGATATGACCTTTGAACTGAGAAAGGTTTCCATGTTTGACTCATCTTGGAGAGTCGCACCTTTCTTGCTCCTGCTGTGATCTTGTCTCTTTTGTGAGGTTAATTTGTTGGAAGCCGGCAGATACCATATCTTAGGTTGGGACCATCCTTTGGATATGCTTGCTTTTCATTTCATTGCAGTCGTCTGATCCTATGAAGCCAATTGCCCACCTGTTCCTTCCTGTCAGGTTCCATGGCATTTGCTTGAACAGGCAATAAGGGAGAGAAATGAAGCATGGAATTAATAAACAGGAGATGCATGTTTATTGAAGAAATTTTAATATAGCACCACTAAGCAGACATACACAACGACTGGGCATGGCAATATGCTGAACAAGCACCTAAAGGACACCAGTAAATGAAAGGAAACTGAAAGGTCACTAGAGGTCATTATTTTCACATACCTTTGAATAATGAGAGCCTCACACATCCGCCAGAGGAGAACAAAATGTCACATTCTCTAGCTAAAGGTCAGCGCCGGTCATAGGTCAGCAAAGTGAGGCCAGGAAACAACCTAAGAGGTTAGGATGAGTGCACAAAGAAAGGGCAAAAAAAGTCAATGAAAGCATGCAGCTGTTTTGAGATGAAACAACTGAGGCAACCTTTATGCTGACACAGGCTAAAAACTAATGCCTCTCTGCCTTTGCTGACTTTTTTTATTTAAAAAAATATTCTGGCAGTTTTATAGGGCATTGGCATTAATGTACACAATCCTGAATTAGCTTTTTGAATTGCAACAGTTTGGAGGTTCAGTGCAGTCATTTGTAAAAAGTCAAAACCGTGACATTTTTACTTCAAATTATTTATGTCACAAGCGACTTCTTCCAGCGCATTCAGATTTCAGCCTCAGCCAGAATCTCTACCAAGTGTGATAACAATCTGAAACAAATCTAAGTGACAGTCAACATTGCTCTCTGGTTTGGGACTCCCTGTATTTACTATTTTGAAAATGGAATAAAATAAGTATGCACAGATGTGGGTTAGTGCAATTCTATGCATTTCTATTCAGACGTAAAGTTCCACTGAGTTCAATGGGGTTGACTCGCAGGTAAGTGGGTATAAGATTGCAGCTGGGCAGGGCAATCCAACCCCCTGATCGACTGTTCTGAAGGGGTTTAGATGAGGCAGAGGTACTCTCCATATAGTGATATCCAGCTCCATTGGACTCCACAGCTGGCAGGGAGGCCCTTCTGCATTCACAGGGTCTCAATGTGGGTGGGTGGAAGCATCCTGCCAAATGGGATGTTTACAGGGCTGGGACTGGGCCAGCACTGAATCCGCTGGATCCTGTGCTAACTCTGCTTCCATCAAATGATGGCAATGGGCCTAATCTGTGACTCTTCACTGTTCCAGTCCTGATAAAGGGAGATGAACTATGTATAGTGAGAACCTAAGTTTTTTAACTGTTGCCCAAACTACTATGTCAATAAGGGTGTATTTTGTTTGCTTTTTGGTTACAAGGCAATACATAAATATTGTAAAGAAACACACACACACACATGTCTAACCTAGGTTTAACTCTAGTGAAGTATAAATCAAGTTGGAAGCAAAGTACTAAAGATAACATTTTGATGGAGCATCAAAACCTAAGCATCAAGCAATTGCAGGAACACCAAATGGGACATAATTGCTTTTGAGGATGGGAGAATTGGCCTTAAAACAGTGTCTGATGAAGAATTGTGTGGATAATCCCACAAGTCCAGTGGAAATTGTGATTCCCCCACTGACACCCATCCTCACTCTCCATTGCAACCTTTCACCAGACAGGAACATTAACATGGGAAGGAAGTAATATAACATGGGAATTTGCAATGCAGGCATGATAGCTACCGCTGAAAAGCGGAGGTGATCAATCCCCTAACATGTGCAAACCTTTGGGTACAGAATGGAACTCCCTAAACTGTGCAATAATCCTAATTGGAATCCTGAAAAACATTGTTTTTAAAAATGGATTCCAATTTTGCCATGATTTTTTGCTTGATAATTCCTTGATCTTATCTATGTGTGATGTTGGTCATATGTGAATCTATAGCATGATGCATGAAAGCCTGCTGATCGGGGCTTTTAAAAGTTTTATGTGCTTTTATTTTTAATCTAAAGATTTCATACACACCCTTCCTTATAGGTTATTCATGTTATATTCAGGTTATTAACTGTGTTGGTTGAATGTGTCCCTGAGTGAATGAAACTAGTTCAACAACAGAAGCTCTGAAAGAGACTTTGCTCTCAACTGACAGACTTCTAATAACAAAGAACCTGTCCTGCTGATTTTATTCCTGGGGTGTCTGCTACGCTGCTGAGATGAAAACAGGCTTCACAAATCCCATAAGATAAACAAAGGCATGTGAAGGGCACATCCTGGGAGCAGCACAGTCACTGTGACTATGAGGAAATCTGCTCACAAGCCAACCACCAGTTGTCAAACCATGGAAGAAATGGGGAACGTTTGCTCTGTGACAAGCTGAACATCTCCATACCAACCTCTAGAGGTTCTCTGATAGCTACTTTTTCTGGTTTTCTACTCATTGCCCGCATGACCTCAAAAGGCAGTACATTGGTAAAAGGTTAAGGTATATTTATTCAGATAAAACAATAAGAAGATCCATAGAATAACAAGCCAGTTAAAGAAGTGAGGGCAGGTGAGGTTTGAGGGCAGTGTCCTTTGTGTCCCCCTGGGCATGTGAGCACCAACATTCTGTGGCTCCTCAGCCAATAGGATTAGGGAAATTTCCCTCTCCCTAGGTGAGCCCTGGGCCTTTGAGCTGAACATGTGCCCTAGGTGTTGCTGTCAAGAGTTCACCCACTTGCCCATATCTGATTCGAAAGGCACCCTGAAATACCTCCCAAAGCCCCAGGCTTTGGGTAATTACTCTGCAGTGCCCCCAACCCAAAACTGCCTCAGTGTGACATTTACTTACTTACTTACCTCTTTTTCTTTAAGGTGTTTTTGTTAGGATGAGGTAGGTTGGATTGAGAGGTGGTCACTGGCCCAACATCACCAACCGAGAGGCAGTTCAGTCCCCTTCTGATTGGCCACCCCTGTCCATGGGACTCCAATTCCTCCTCCTCTGGGAGAAACCAAATCAAATCTCTTCCAAGTCGGGCTGGGGCAACCTCACCCCTGCTAAAAGGGGGGATACCATTCTTATATTGAGTAATATGAAAGCATAGGCAGTTTAAAAACAATTCTATGGGTAAGGGAATGCCATCCCAAGCCTCCTATCCTGCTGCCCCACTGATCAAACATAGAAGGGCTTGGAGTTTGACTCTTCCTGCTAGAGCTGTATTGGCCATCCACCTCATTATCTGTTTTGCTTTGATAATATTTTTTATTATTACGGTGGTGGTGGTGGTAAAGCATTCTCCCTACCCCAACCCCGGCAGCCCTCCACTGTGTGTATGTGTGTGTGTGTGTGTGTGTGTGTGTATATGTATATATATACACACACACACACACACACACACACACACACACAAATATATAACACACATCGTTAAAACATTTCAGTTTGATACACATGAAGGAACTCTCTTCTTGCTCCTCTGCCATCCTCTTCACAGACCACTTTGCTGTCCATGGAGCCCCTCTCCTTGGAACTCTTCCTTGCCCTGTAAATGAACTCTCATGGGAGTTTATTCCCGTTCAAAGAAGTCAATACTTATTTTGGTCCCTGGTGTAATGGCAATACTTGCCCTGTTTAATGCACCTATAAAGCAAACCTAGAAGCCATTAAGTAGGAGATAGTTGCAAGCTGATAAATAATTGGTAGACTTGTATCTTACAGATTAAAGGGTTTATTATGACCTCAGCTTCTACGGCTAATGATTGGGTTTATCAGATGCAAGGCTGTGCTCAAACTACAGGAAGGCCAGAGGGTGTTCCACCCTATACTATGATCACTTGTTTTATTTTAAATGTATAGGGCCAACTATCAGGGTCTTCATTTGGTGCCCTGGTTCTTATTGTGAGATGTTCCTGAATTAGAAGAGGAAATAAAAACCATCTAAGTCCCATCTCTGCCTCTTACTCCAAAAATTGTAGAGGGTCCTTTTTGCTCTTTGGGCATTCAAGAAGTCTAGGTCATCACTGGGGCTGTCCTGGCTGCAAGACCTGCACATTAAAGTGGGTTCATTGGGCTACCTTCAAGTTTTCTTCTTCTATAACTGTACCTTCTTTTCTTCTCCAGTAAGGCACCTCAATCCATCTTCCTCAGTCTCTGGTCTCAGCTCATAAAATCCAGGTGTCTTGTCCATTCTCCCCTTGAAGGGGTGGGTGGCTCTGAGAATGCTAGCCAGCCATGCCCCGTTCTCCTGACAGTGTCCCAGTCATCTATCCTGCCTCTTGTCTCTCTGACTATGTAGGGGAAGCTCTGCTTTGTGACACTCATTGTCTCCTCTGAAATTTACATAGCTATAGAGGCGGGGACAAGTACCCAGCCTTTGGTGTAATGCTTTCAGCCATGTTGACTTTCAGTTGAGCCAGCTGGGGCATGGAGCACTTGTCTTCAACCTCCCATATTCATATGAAGTGGGGGGGGATCAAACATATCCACCTCCCAGAACCACACTTGTCCCTGTGACCACAAAAGCCCATTTCCAAACAGGCAACAGCTAATAGAATTGAGTGTGCTATGTGTCTTAATGAACTGGGAAATGACAGACAATGGCCATTGTGATCCAAGGGCTTAATTCAGTTCTATCATGGAAATCACTGATGTCAGGACTTTTTGGAGGGATTGCTTTGGAAAATTGCACTTTAGCTAAAATAGGCTACAATTGCCAGTAATGTATTGATTTGTGATGTCAGTGGTTCTGTCTACTGGAAGTGCAGGAGGAGGGAGGGGGGAAAAACATGCCATTTTGTTTTTACTGTTGAAAGAAAATATTAGGAATTTAAACAAGTTCCCTTTCCATCCCAATGAGTTTACCAAACAATTAATCAGAGGTCCTTTTAAATTAGTAGAGTTAAACACACGGGTGTTTCATCAAAGAGGGAGCTGTTCCATCATAAACAACTTTGAGCATTTAAGGAGACAAGGAGGAGGTTAGAAAACACATCTCAATGGGACGTATTCATGAAGGTTCTACCTCTCTACTCAATAGAGTAGCTTGTTACAGAGATTTACATTCAACATTAGCATTTTCATAGGGATCCTAGAACCCTCGATACTTCCAAATACGTGCATTTGCAATGGCACTTTTCATTTCCAAACAGTAAAGTACACAGCATAGGAACATAGGAAGCTGCCTTATACTGAGTCAGACCATTGGTCCACCTAGCTTGCTGTTAACTACCCTGACTGGCAGGAGTCTTTTCCAACCCTACCTGGAGATGCCAGGAATGGAACTGGCATGCCAACCATGACCACTGCCTCTTCTAATTTAGGTCACTTGACTTTTATCTTAACATTGTGATCATTGGCTTTCCTGTGTTACTATCTCCCTTATGTTATCTGTGATGGCATATGTAAATTAACAAGTTCTGTTTTCTCTAAAGCTGGTTACCGGTATATTATTTGTGCCACTGGGATAGTAACTGAGTAGCAGAAAATGAACATCTACACAGCAACTCTTGTGCAAATAAAGAATGTGAAAAGCCACAGGTCCAGGGGTGGATTACCATATTTCTGTACTGTGACAGTTTCATTTCCCCTACAAACAGGCTCTGTTTTGTCCTGTCTATGGGTTGAATTTTTAGGGAAAATCCACCCACTTTAAAAACGTCCAAAAACGCTTTGCCATATTCGTTCTTTCTTTTTTTACTGGAGACAGGGGTGCAGATAAGGATCCATTTTCCCCGCCCCCATCTTACTATCATCTGGCTTAAGATGGTCTCATGAAGGGATTCTAAGAGGAAAGCAGGCCTCAGTGTCATCTGGACAAATGGCCCTCTAGTCTCTGCTCACTTGGGTTTGCTTTGCTGCAGGAGCAGCTTCCCAACAGGGCAATAGCCTCGTGGCAGTGGAGTGGCAGCCAGTTTGGGACTTTGCGGGTGCAGCAGCAGAGCTAATTGGTTGCTTCTGGCTGTGCATCTGTGCAGCTTTGACTTCTCCACTGCCTAGCCCCTCCCCTTACTGGTGAGAAGCAGCAATGCTGCTGTCAGGAGGTTATTGAGGTGACTCTGCCCCACCAGCTGCTCTTTCGATATTGTGAAATGGGGCAGAGGGCCTAAGTGAGCTGAATGTTCTTGTCATGGTTTATGAGGCAGTCGGGAAAGGAAGGGGAAGAAGGGTTTTTAGGGGATGGGAAAGGGGGAAATGGGATTGGGGGGCAAAATAGTTGGGGGGATTGGTCACATGGGTCACCAGGTGGAGGTGCGAACCAAAAAGTCTTCCTGGCTGTGCTGTGCATCCTTTCCTTTACATGGTGATCTGAAATGGTGCTTATGAACAGCATGAACACATTTGGGGACATGCCACAGTGCCACCTGTGACTATGGAACTCATGGTGTGAGGTGCTGTGGCATTGTTCTGTGAGTCGTAGCACAGGGAGCTGTCCTGGTTGTGCCTCCTTGTTATTAAGCATCTCCATGTCTGCATGGCATGTGGATACCATTGCACTACATCCCCTGATTAAAAGCCCTTTGGAATAATTCCAGGGCTCTAAGACTGTAGCTCCTCCTACCACCCCTGCTTTCAGATTATATTTTCCCCTGCCTTCCAGGATTGGTCACTTCTACTATATGCTGACCATGCACTACTGTAGCACCAGCAAACCTCCTGCCTATCCTCATGCATAATTGCCAGGTATAGGATTGCTCAGCCAAAGTCAATACAACACAATGATCTTTATCCAAAGATCCTGAAAGAATTATCTTGGCAAAGGCCAAAAACCCTGGCTATCAATAGTGCCTATCTTTAAAAAAAGAAAAAGTTAAGTTATTGGAGAAATGATAAAACAAAATATTTGTTACTCTCCTTCAATGTGGATTTATTGAGGTTAAACCATGCCAGCTCAACCTAGTTTCCTTCTTTGATCAAGGACTGAATTAGTAAACAAGAAAACCCCAGCCGATATATCTTTTGCGAGGCTTTTGATGTATTGTTCTATATGACAGCCTCATAAGGGTACTTGAGAAACCCTTACTACAAGGAATTACCATTAAATGAGTACTCGATTGAAAAACTACACTCAAGGGGTAATTAATGGATCAGCATCAAATTTGGAAGGTATTTCCAGCTCAGTGCTGGGTCTGGCGCTGCTCTGCATTTCAATTAATGATTTGAAAGAAGGCATGTACTAGACACAAAGTGTGTGATTTGCAGAAAACTGGAGAAGAAGGGATTGCAAGTGTTTAAGAAGAAAGTAAATCAAAGTAATCACAGCAAAACAGGTGAGATGGGCTGATAGTAAGAAAACACATAGCCACATAGAGGTCGGAATCTTCAGCCACATATTGTTCCATCATCTGCAACCATTCTGTATCTCTAACATATTATCTTAGATCATCACCTGCCTTTCCCTCTTATAAATATAATTGTCTGGTTCTCCATTGAGTTCTGCATTCAGCTTTTGCCTTGAGAAACACACAAGCAGTCAAGCTATGAAGGTGATGGCTAACCCTTCTAGTTTATCCCCAGCATCTAGTAACTTAGACCAGGGGAGGCACACCTGTGGCCCTTCAGATATTGCTGGACTTCAGTGCCCAGTCAGGGATGATGATAGTTGGGGGTCCAGCAGCCTCTGTAGGGTCATATGTTCCCCACCATTGACAAAGATACTGTATACTATACTTTTTTTTAACACAGGTATAACCAGCACTATCAAGAAATAGGTGCAGGGATTAAAAGGATTTAAGGAAGGCTATTAGGGTGGTTCTCCCTTCCCCATCCCTATTAAGGAGGCTATTAGGGTAGTTCTTGTGCATTTGCCCCACCTAAGAGCCAACAGCATTGGTCCTACCGAGTAATGTAATATTTTATATGAGATGGATTTTACATGTATAATTAGTATAATTTTCCAGAAAGGGCAATATATATGATCCCTCCCCTTTTGAACCTTGGATGCCATGCTAAAACCCTTTTTGTTCATATTGGCTCACTGGCATCACATTTGTATGCAGTGCTAGATCGGAGTGTCTGCACAGTTAAATTGCTTGCTGCTACGTGACATCAGCTTTATTACGGAGCTCGACCACTTCTACAGAGTTACTTTGGCCCATAAATCACGTCCTGTAGGACAGAGTGACACCTCCCCCCAATGCAGATGGTCAACCATGCCATTAGCCATATTTTCCTAATTACTAAACTATTGGAATGTTTGTGTTGTTTTGAGGACTTTCTCCAATGAGAAGCCGTTGTAAAAGGTGAAGCCTTTCAATATATTCATTAATTAGATGGTTTAATCTAATAGCCTACCATTGTTTTAATAGGTGGCAATCACTTCCTGCTAAATTTTGAAGTG